TTTTGGTTCCTAGGTTATAGTGGCTTCACGATACAATCTGCAACATCTTCTCTGTCATATTCTCTAGGAAGTATCCATTCCTTAAATGTACAAAAGAAACTTCCTATGAAACGACTCAGGGTATCTTGGGGTTAGTAGCACTTTTTTAAAAACACCTTTTTTGAGGTGTAATTGATTTACCAAAAAAAGACACATACTTAATGTATATAGTTTGTATACTAGGACATGTATACATGGGACATGCCCATGATACATCACCACAATCCAAGTAATACTTGTCTCTATCACCTCCAAAAGTTTCCTTGTGTCCCTTCATTTTCGTTTTTCTTATCTTTTTGTTTGTGGTAAAAACCGGTCACATGAGATCTACCCTCTTAATCGATTCTTAAATGTACAATACAATGTTGTCGACTATAGACCTTATGCTATGCAGAAGATCTCTAGGACTCATTCATCTTGTGTAACTGAAAAGTAGCACTTGAAAATGTTTTAAATATTCTCTTCTTGATTAGTTCTCAATACTTTTAAGTTTCCATTTTTTTTACTAGGAGTATAATCAACATACGGTATTCTATTAGTTTCAGGTGTGCATCATAGTAATTCAGTATTCATTATGAAATGATGCCCATAATAAATCTAGTCACCATCTGTCACCAGACACAATTGTTACACAGTATTATTGATTCTATTCCCTACACTATATATTACGTACCCTTGACTTATTTTATAACTGGAAGTGTGTACCTCTTCATCCCCTCACCTGTTTTGCCCCCTCCACAAGCCCTCCACCCTCTGTTCACCAGCAGTGTTTTTCCTGTATCTGTGAATCTGTTTCTGCTTTGTTTTGTTTGCTCATTTGTTTTGCTTTTTAGATTCCAGGTATGAATGAAATCATATGGCATGTGTCTTTCTGTGTTTGATTGCACCCTGTCTGATTTTACGTAGCATAATACTCCCTAGGTCCTTCGATGATGTCACAAATGATATTTCATTCTTTTTATGGCTGAGTAATATTCTACTGTATAGATACATATCTCCTTTATCCAGTCCTCTATGGATGGACACTTTAGATTGCTTCCATATCTTGGCTATTGTAAATAATGCTGTAGTGAACATCAGTAGGCATATATTTCTTTGGGTTGGTGTTTTTGTTTTCTTCAGATAAATACCCAGAAGTGAAATGGCTGGATCATAGGATAACTTTCAACTTTTTGATGAACCTCTACACTGTTCTTCACGGTGGCTGCATCAATTTATATTCATACCAGCAGTGCTCAGGGTTCTCTTTCTTCCACTTTCTCACCAACACTTGTTACTGTCTTTTTTATACTAGCCAACCTGACAGGTGTGAAGTGAGATCTCACTGGGGTTTTGATTTGCATTTCCCTGATGATGAGCGATGGTGACCATCTTTTCATATCCCTGTTGGATCTGTATGTCGTCTTTGTAAAAATGTCTATTCAAGTCCCCTGTCTATTTTTTAATTGGGTTAATTGTGGATTTTTAATATTAAGTTGGGTAGGTGCTTTAAACATATTTTGGATACTAACTCCTTAGCAGATGTAGGATTTGCAAATATCTTCTTCCATTCAGTAGGTTGCCATTTCATTTGTTGATCATTTCCTTTGCCGTGCAAAAGCTTTCTAGCTTGATGTAGTCTCATTTGTTTATTTTAGCTTTTGTAGCCCTTGCCTGAAGAGACATGTCCAAAAAAAAGATTGCCAAGACTGATGTCAGAGAGCTTACCAGCTATTTTCCTCTACGAGTTTTTTGGTTTTAGGTCTTACATTCAAGTCTTTAATCCATTTTTAATTTATTTTTGTATATGGTATAAGAGAGTGGTGCGGTTTGGGTTTTTTGCATGTAGCTGTCCAGTCTTCCCAACACTGTTTATTGAAGAGGCTGTCTTTTACCCATTGTATGTTCTTGTCTTCTTTGTCATGGATCAATATATACGTGGAGTTTTTTTGTGGGCTGTTACATTGATCTGTATGGGTTTGTTTTTTGGGTTGGGGTATGTGTGTGTGTGTGCGCGCGTGCGCACATGCATTCATGCCAGTACCAGACTACTTTGATGACTATAGTTTTATAGTATAGTTTGAAATCAGGGAGAGTGAAACTTTCAGTTTTCTTCTTTCTCAAGATTGCTTGGTCTATTTGGGTTTTCTGTGGTCCATACAAATTTTAGAATTCTTTGTTCTAATTCTGGATGGAGATTGCATTGAATCTGTGGATTGCTTTGAGTACAATGGACATTTTAGCAATATTAATTCTTCTAGTACATGAGCACAGAATATTTTTTGCATGTTCGTGTCGTCTTCACTTTCTTTCATCAAAGCCTTAGAGTTTTCAAAGTACAAGTTCTTTACCTCCTTGGTTAAGGTTATTCCTAGGTATTTTATTCTTTTTTATGCAATCACAAATGGATTAATTTCTTAATTTCTCTTTCTGATTGCCTGTTAGTAGTGTATGGAAATGAAATCAATTTCTGTTTACTGATTTTGTACCCTTTGAGTTTACTACAGGCATTTATCAGTTCTTGTAGTTTTTTGGTGGAGTCTTTAGGATTTCTACATATAGTATCATGTCATCTGCAAATAGTAACCGTTTACTTCTTCCTTTCCAATTTTGCTGCATTTTATTTCTTTTTTCTTGCCTAATTGCTATGGCTAGAACTTCCAGTACTATGTTGCATAAAAGTCGCAAGAGTTAAAAAAAAAAAAAAGTTGCAAGAGTTGGCATCCTTGTCTTATTCCTGATCTTAGAGAAAAAGGTCTCAGCTTTTCACCATTGAGTATGATGTTCATCATGGGTTTGTCATCTGTGGCCTTTATTATGTTGGTGTACATTCCTTCTATATCGACTTTGTTAAGAGTTTTTTCATTATTGTTCCCTTTCAAGTGATCTATTTCATTGAGATTTTCAGATTTATTACCTATGATTAAATATAATACTTTCATATTTTTTTTAATTCCCTATGTTCTTTCTCTATTTTTTTCATTGATCAAAATTGTCAAAGATTTGGCTATCTTATTAATATATATAACAAACCAAGTCATTTATTTATTTATCAGTTCTAGTATTTTTTGACTGATTCAGTCATTTCTGCTTCTCTATTGATCCTTCCCTCACATTCTTTGGATCTACTTTATGTGTGCTGGGCAGGCTTGTATAAATAAATGGTGATATAGCAAGAGCAGAAGTTTATTAACTCCTAGGTCATGGCCACCCACACTGTAGAACTCTGGGCACTCTACCACCTTCTCCAATTCCCCACTGGTCCAATGCTCCTAGGTCCCCCAGTTCTAGCTCTGTGCTCTTGAATTACACCTTCCTGATCAAAACTCTACTATCTATTCAACTTGAACCTCATTCCTCCCTCTTCCAAATTCACAGTGTAGGGAAGTTGTCTAGATAAGTTATTATTTTCTTTTCTTTTTGAACAAAAGGGAGTCTGAGAAAGGAGATCCACTTCCATGTTCTAAGCAGCCCTCTAGATATGTCTTAGCTAGAGCCCCATTTACCTCCTCCATCCCAGTGACCTGATCTACAATAAGACTCTTCTGTCGTACCCTGGAACTTTTCCCCAAAACTGCCAACAAAGAAAACCTAGGAAATTATTTAGGTTGTGTTTTTGTTGGGTCTCTGTGTGCTTTGTCCTAGGATGCCTCTAAGTTCAATATTACAGAAATAGCTCTGAGCTATTCTGAAGGTGGGTTCATGCCCTTTGCTGATTGTCCATTTGGCTTTCTCCTCAGCCCCCCAGCTTTACCCCATAGGTGAACCAGAGGAAAGATTTGAAACTCAGACTGAGTTAATCAGATTAGCAGCCTCCTAAGGAGTTTTGAGAGGAGTTGCACAGTCCATTTCTCACAACAAGGGAATGAAGTTTTTTCTTTGTCCTCAGCCTTCCCAAGCTAGATCACTAGAAATCTTGCTCATGTTCCAGGATTAACAGTGTTACCTCCTTCTACATAAGCATCAACATGTTCTACCTCTGGTCCTATGAAAAATCTCTGTCCTAAAGTACTGGGACACTTTCTTTTATCAGACAATAGGAGCTTCCAGATACCTTTGGGAAAATGTAGCGGCATATTTAAGGAAGAATCCATCTTCCACCTTTCCAGAATAGGTGTGTTGAGTTTAACATCCAGGGGTCTTTACATAAGCTAATTGGAAGTCATTTTGGAAGCATGTAAAGTAAAATATATAAATAGGTAAGAGCCCTCAATCCCACTGAAAATGATAATTATTTTACTTCCTGGGCCCAGAGCTAGGGATGAGAGGGAAGATACTCCAGACAATCTTCACTTCCTCCAGGCATCTCCCACATTCCTCCCTATCTCACCATCTGTGGTGGATGCCAATACCTTACCCACCTGTGTTCTTCCCATGAATGGACCAGGTTACATCCTCAGTGCTGACCTTGACTGGCAGGGCTCATGGCTGAGCCAAGGAGGGCACATTTGCCTTTCACCCATGGTGCTGGGGGTGAGAAGTAGAGAAATAACTATGATCCACTGGAAAATCAATGGACTTCCCCAGAGTGGTGATGTAATTAGTAGCACTGCCAGAAAGTGATCATAAGTGCTTTGTGAAGCACTTCCTGCAAAAAATTAAGCCCCTGTCCAATGGTTTTCCGATAACAGAAATAATATATCTGAATTTTATTCATTCAGAAATAAATGTGCAGCGGCTATTGCCCTTTATGTGTAGCACCTAAACAGCATTCAATATCTAGATGTCTTTCTGATCATATTTAGAATAATGGCGAAAGTCATGAATTACAGGGCACACAGCCTGACACATTTATTGCTTACAATCCATTTTATAGCCCTCTCTTTTAGGGCTTGAGTTGCTGAACAGGATGATCGTAAGCTATTTACAGAGAGAACTGCAGAGTTGCCTCCGGGTCCACCCTCTGGAGCAGGTCTCAGGGCCAGACACAGGCCTGAGGCCAGGTGTGGGCCCTCTCTGACCAGCACCAACTTCATCCGCAGTGCCACCAGTCATCCGCGTGTATCCAGAGACCCAGGCACAGGAGCCCGGGGTGGCAGCCAGTCTGAGATGCCACGCAGAGGGCATTCCTATGCCCAGAATCACTTGGCTGAAAAATGGAATGGATGTCTCCACCCAGATGTCGAAACAGCTCTCCCTATTAGGTAAGAACGGCCCTTAGTGCCTTTCTGCTATCCTCATCAAGTTCAAGCTGACACTTCCCCCAGCAGCGGAAGTGTTTCTAAGTCAGATGTGTTGGGAGTAAACAAATGTTTCCCCAAATTCTCCTGCTATCTGGACTCACACAGGTCTTGTGGGATTTCTGAATGCAGTGATGATAAGCTGTCAATCAGGTCCTAGGTCAACAGTTTAGTTCAGCTGTTCCAGCCCAACAAGAGCATTGGCTGCCCCCAGCCCTGCTGAAGGGTTGTGTTTTTAACCTCACCACTCTGAATAGAAGGGAGATGGGAGGGAGGAGGAAGGTCCCAACTGAGAGCAGACCATCTGGAGCACTGTCCTTCCCACAGCCAACGGAAGCGAGCTCCACATCGGCAGTGTCCGGTATGAAGACACAGGGGCATATACCTGCATTGCCAAAAACGAAGTGGGCGTGGACGAGGATATCTCCTCACTTTTCATCGAAGACTCGGCTAGAAAAACCCGTGAGTCCACTCTTGCCTTTGAGCTTCTTGCACCGGTTGGGGGGTGTTGGGTGCAAGAGGACCAACTGACTGGGGCCGCAGCCACCATCTATGAGCCCCTGAAGACAGGGGTAAACTCCTATATTCTTCCGTGCTCACAGCTGGGGCAGAGGGGGCCCAGAGGTGAGCAGACCTTCCCTGGCAACCTAGACAACACAGAGACAGGGAAAATCACTGGACAGCAGAGAGCGCCCAAGACCACAAGGAAGTTTGCATACCCTAGCCCCAGGTCTGCCTCCTACTCGCCCTATGACTGGAACCTCTGGCCTCACCCACAGACCACAGTCCTCATACTATCACCCAGCAGCCAATGATGCACATTCACTATATGATAGACTAGATGCCAGTTCAGTAATTGTATCACATGCTGCCGTCCCACTGGGGCCCAGGAAGTGGCCTGGGCACACGTGCACACATAACCTTTGCTCCAGGGATCATAGCCTACCTAGTGTGCCAAGTGTGCCCTCCCTTGTAGCCACTGCTCTGTGGGTGTGATTCCATGGACGCAGGTGATAGATATGATCTCTTGCCCTTGTTCAAAGACTCCACTCTGAGTCTTCATCATCAAAGGAAACCGTCAAAAGTGTTTCAGATGGTCTTCCTAGGGGAATCCTAGCTGAAAATCAATATGGCTTCTAGAAGTGAACCAAGAGCTGTGGGAGAGATGGTGCTTGCTCCTTGTCAACCACAGAAGTGGGGGATCCCATTGATTTCTATGATCCTGATTTCAAAGATTGATTAGAAATCAAAAGTGTCCTGAGACCTGGAAACATTGGTCCATATTCAGAATCCTATCAGAGTGCTGTTGCTGGGGCAGAGGGTGGTGGGGACTCCACACATGATGGATTAGGTAGTAGTACATCCATGAATGGAATCACTAAGATAAAGAGGCTGACATTGCATTGTTCTTTTTTCCTTCTCTCAATCATGTTCCTGCTTTTCTGATTCTCTGATGCTGTAGTTGCAAACATTCTGTGGCGAGAGGAAGGTACCAAGCCTGCTTCTTCTGTGTTGTGCTTGTGATCACCTGTGTTCATGCTTCCATCATGGGCCATATTTCCTTGTGCCGCTATCAGCTTTTCCAGATACCAAATGGTCCCCACAAGTGGGGTGTGCCTACAAGATCAGATGGGAGGGAGCAGGTCAATGTCAAACTCAAGTGGCACACAGTGAGAAGCAGATATAAACCCTACTAGTGCCTTTGTTGGGCACTAGTCCATTAGAACTTAAAAGTAGGAAGTTGCCATCTAAAGCTGTTTGAAATGGTCACTGAAGCAGACTACTTGGCAGGGGCTCCTGGTCGGACTGGGCCTTCAACATTTTTCTAGGAGCTGATACTAGTATTGGGGTTTAGTGATTACTTTGAGGAAATGGCAAAGGAAACAGCCGCCATGGTTTCTGTAAATGTATATTTACAGGTATATTTTTAAATGAATAGACTTTTAAGATTTGTATGTATCAAACCATCTTTAGATATTAGGTTGGGCCTTTTAAAAAGCTGCCATTTTTATACATCAAAAATGGTCTAGTACTGACAATTTCATGCGGTTCAAAAAATAGCAGAGCCCAAGTCACTATGTGGGGTGCATGTGCATTTGCCCAGAGTAGAGTTCAGATTCCCTTGAGGTAACCTGTTCCACAGTTTCATGGATGCAGGGGGGGGGGGTCAGGGAGAAGTATGAGAAGTAGCAGAATGCACCATGTGATTTCAGGGTGAAGCACAAAATCTCCCTCTTTAAAAGCCAGCTTACTCCCTATCTTATTTTTCCCTCATGAATGTTCCCCCTGGCGTTGCCTAGAGTCTCGCATATGAATGCATACACAGACACAGAACAATTTCCTGAACGTCGGGCACTGCTGTTCCAGTAAGTCTGAGAGCAAAACAGAAGCAGAGCCTGAAAAATGAGGAACTGATGCCAGTAGGCTTTAGGATTCCTTGGAAAGACAAGTTGTAGCAACTGCCACTCACCATGGACAATTTTCCCCTGATCCAGCTCCTAGGCCCCTGAGGTACACAGCTTTCCCTCTGTATCTTTAAGAAGTGATAATTTCCTAAAGGGAGTTCAGGACAAAGAGGCTCAAGTTTCAAAAGTGGAGACCAGCAAAGAATGCAGGAGGCCCTCAGGTGTATGAAATACAGCCATAGAGGCCCCACCTTGAGGCCAACCTGAGACACCCCCCCCTGCCCCCGCCCCAGCTGCTTTCGGGCTCGGTGCTGGTGGGTGCTGCGCTCACACGGGACAGCATAGTGACAAACAAATCCATGCTGCCCGGATAGCCGGCCACTTGAACCCTTCACAGCTAGAACCCAAAGCTGGGGGCAGGGAAACAATAGGAGCCCAAACAAACAGGCTGGCAGGCCGCAGGGAATTGTCCCGTCTCTACAAGAGAAATAAGGTGAGGGGGGCTCACCACAGCAAGGAAAGCTCCTTCGTGCCGCCTTCGGAGAAGCCATGCTCGGACAGAGCCTTCCAGGGGGCTGGATCCTGAGGCTGGCTCTCCTGTGAAGCCACTCGTTTGTTGAGGTCCACATCCATGGCCGGCTGTGAGGAAGGCACTGTGCTTAGCCTGACCAGTGGCCACGGTGGCAAGGCCACATCGAGTCCCTGAGCTCTCAAGCTTACCTTGCTAGCTTTCAGCTATCCACGTCCCAGGAGGCCATCCCTGGCGTCTCCAGTTTGGCAGGGACTTCAGCCCATAGGTCTGAGCAAGAGACATTTGCCAGGTGAGCATCGACAGGCAGGCCCCGCTGGCACAGGATAGACGGGGACAGAGCACGTAGTGCCAGGAGCTAGGATGCCCCAGGAGCCAAGGCAGGAGCTGCCTGGGTGGCCGCTTCAGCTAGCACTCAGCTGCCTAGGACTCCCCACTGGAACCTGGGCAGGGAGCTCCCAGGCCCTACTAGCTTCTGCGAGGCTGGGGTCAAGTTGTTCCTGGTGGCCAAGCCCCTCCTGCCCAGAGCCCCTCCTGCCCAGATCCCTGTGTCAGGGAATCAGGGACCTTGGGCCACACTGGGAACCACAGTCACTGGTACTTCCTGGGGGCCCAGGGCCCAGAAGACTGCCTGCAGAGCCACTGGAAGCAGCTGGAATGCTGGCTCCTATTTCCTCTTGTATTGGTTTCTAACACTAAAAACTTAGCCAGATAGTCAAGTCCGTGCACCAGGCTTCTCAGCATGCTAGGAAGGAGCGTGTTCTTCATATATTTAATTTTCTTAACATTTATGGAAATCTGTTGCACGTTCTACCTTCCCAAGAAATAGAGGGAGAGAGAAAGGGAGAACTCACACCTTGCCTATTTTTTTTTTTTTTTGCCATGTTTATCTCTCATAGAGAGGTATACGGTGATGCCACAGAGCCCAGGGGCCGGACCCCTGCTCTGGCACAAATGCAGGTGGCCTCAACCAAGCCCCTTCCCTTCCTTGGACCTCGGGGGTTTTTATGTCTTTATAATAAGGAGGCAGAACTGGCTCATCCCAAGGCCACTTCTCTGCTAGTCTGAGATTTCTCCCCCGAGGCCCACACCTGGGCAGGGGTGGGAGCAGGCAGGGGGGCATGACCAGGCCACCACCCTGTTGTCTGATGTGGGGCTGCCACAGAGGAACTGCTGAGGTGGAGGTGGAGGGCTTTGCTGGCACTGACAGGCCAGGACTTAACTGGCACAAAGCAGTACCAGCCACAGCATTCTTAGGCCATGTTCCAGGGAATGGTGCTATAGACAAACATGTTTTAAAAAATAAATAAGAGCCTTTGCTTTTATGGCATGATCTGGGCCATCTGACTGGACTAGTTGACAACAGTCAACCAAGGGAGACTCTGACTTCAGAATAGGAAAGATCAAATGTATGTGAGAGCCAAGACTGTCATATATTTGAAAACTTGTGTTGGTGGCCAGTCCTAGATGCCCTAGGGCAGAGGTGTGTGTCTGGAAGGATAGCCTGGGATTGCAGAGCCGTCCGGCACTTTGTCCTCATGCTGCCCACACACCCCCTGCTCATCCCACATCACCTTGACCTGCACTTATACATTGGGCCTGGACCGCATGCACCCAAACCGCAGGTTTCTTGTGTGCCCAGCAGGTTCTGTGACCCTGCAGTGCAGCTGGATAGGAGGGTGGGGGCTAGCTGCTGAGAGGGCGATGCATAACCATGGCCATGTTTGCTCCTCCCAGGCCTCAGTGTGGGAAACATGTTCTATGTCTTCTCCGATGATGGCATCATTATCCTGCACCCCGTGGACTGTGAGATCCAGAGGCACCTCAAACCCACTGAGAAGATCTTCATGAGCTATGTAAGTGTCTGTGCCAGGGCACAGACAACATCCTCAAAGTCAGTCTCACATCATGTGTGCCCCTCGATTTCTGAAATTCTGTTTGCTATGTGTGGTGTTGTTCCACATGTGTTCCAAGGCTCCAGAGAAAGTACCCATGAAGCTAAGAGTTGAAGGTGTCCTTCCTTGTTTCACACTTCCGTGCACAGAGCCCTAGGTGAGACCCAGGCTTACAGATGGGTTTCTCTGCTCTACAAGTTCACTGAGAAAGGATGGAGACAGCAGTGTGAATAGACAGCCAAACAGGTGCCGCTAGAAGCAGGTGCCACTAGAAGCAGAAAATGTCACGTCACATCTGGGGACTTGCACATACTCTGTGTGCCTGAGATTAGGGTGACCATAGACTGGGGTCAAAGCCAAGGAGTATTAATGTTCTATCTTAAGAGTTCTAGGGACATCTGGAGGCCTTCAAGTGAAGCATGGCCATGGTGGGGCTGCTTCAGAACACGTGCAGGGCCCCAGCAAAGAAGCAGGTGCACAGGATGTTGTGATCATCCACATGAGAGAGGGTAGTGACCTAGCCAAGCCAGGGGCAGTGGCAAAGGGGATAGTTGAGTGTATCTTAGTGTTATTCACAGGTGACACCAACGGGCACCACAAGCGTAATCCAGGGTCTTGCTAGGAGGGGCACAGTGCCCTTCACTCAGGAAGAGGAGGAGAGGCAGGTTAGGGGGATACAGCTCATTCTCTGTCTGGGGCTGGGGATCCCAAAAGCAGAGCAGATTGTCTCCTCCTCAAGGAGTTGAGGGTGCCCTATGATGCCCTGAGTTTGAGATGCCCATGGGACACAAGCATAGAAACATCCAGAAGATGGGGAGCAGGAAGGAAAAGGCAGTGGTGAGCTGGAGAGTCCTCGGCTCTCTGGCAGGCAAAAGAAGTAGCTTTAAGGAAGCCTGGAGAACATGTGTCACAGAACCTAAGGATCACAAAGTTTACAAAAGGAAGGGGTTCTCAACCAGTCGATAGAGGAGGTTCTCAGTGACCCCTAAGGAACCAGGGGAGAGAGCATGAAGCATGAGAATGCCCTGAGTGTCACAGGTGCTACAAAGTATGAAGCCCACTGCACAGTGGCAATGCACCATGAACAGAGGCCGAAGAGGTGATGGCTGGCAGCAGTTCCAGGAACACCCCTATAGCCCCCAAGACCCAGCTGTCCAGAGGTGTCCTCCAGACTGTGCTTCCTCCCACACCCACACCCCAGGGCTCTGTCCCTCCCATTGGTTTCTCACTTGGCCTTGTGTTGGTGGTCACTTGCATAAGGCAAAAACCTTAGCTACTTGATGGTAGAACAATTGCATTAACCCAGAAGAGTCCCCTACAAGCCCCCACGTGCCCTCTGCTTGGGGACATACCGTGCATGAACAGGTGAGCATGGAGCTGCAGATCATGGTGGAAGTGGGTAGGGCCCCAGTGAGTTCCCGCTGCCATTGCTGCATTGCCGTGCTGGCTTTTGGCGTGTCTCAGGCTGTTGCATTCCTCACATTTGTAGCTCTGGAACAGCTGTTTTCTGGGCTATTTGATATGAATTATTTTTTTAGATGTGTTACCCCTGATGAATTTTTCTTCCACTCAGTAGCCATGAAACCATCAAGAAAGAGTGGTTCTAGTTAATTTCTAGCAGTTAGGTTTAAATAATTGTACCCTGTCACATGGGCACTAATCTCTCATAGATTTGCAATAACCTAATCTGTAGCTCGAGGGTAATCTCTAAAATCCTAACCACAACTCACATTTCCTAAGAAGCTAGAACAAGACACAGTAAAGACAGATCCTGCAGACCTTTCAGGCAGCACAGGACCACGGTTAGCTATAGAACAACCCCAAACAACAGTGTTCTTCTCTAGAAAATGCCCAAACACCTCCCAAGAGGGTTATCGTGAAGCAAGCCTCTTGTTAAAGCGCTGAGCAAGAAGGAAGTTGGTACGTCTTCTCTCGGGCATCTCTGCTGGATGAGGCATCCACTCTGTGCAGTGGGAAGCCTCACGTGTAGTAGATAAGGGCACAGGCTTCTGAGCAGGGCACCCCTGGGTTCATAGCCCACCTCTGTCACTCAGTAGGCTGAGTGGTTTTAGACAAGTGACCTAATCCCTCCAAGCCTCTGTTTTCTCACGTATGAATTGAGATAGTTGGTGAGGATTGAATGTGATACCAGGCAGTGGCCAGGGTAGAAGGTAAAAGCTCTGCCCCAAAGTGATTACAGTCATTTAGGAAAGAACTGGAAAGTAGATAAACTCAGGGATTTAGGAGGCTCCATAGTCCTTGGTGACTCACTCGTGGCAGACCGTAGGGGAGAAGGAAGCAGCAAGGGTGATGGTCATGCTTGGTCTTGGCTGGCCAGCTGCTAATGAAGAGTCAGCAGAAGGAGCAGGTATGGAGGAGAGGAGCAGCTCAGGGGTGGGTGGCTGCGTTTGAGGAGGCTGTGGGAGAACCAGGCAGGAACTGGAGAAGGTGGTTTTGAACTAAAGACACAGATTTGGGAGCCATCTACATATGGTGTTGGCTAAAGCCAGGGCAGTAGATAAGACCACCAAGGGTGTGTGTGAGTGGTTTGAGTTGAACACTTGAACAGAACCCTGTGGGGCAGGGGCAGGGGGCAGTAATTAAGGGACAGGCAGACTAAGAGGGACCACGAGGAGACTGAGACAGAGGGGGCCAATGTCATGATGAAAAACATGAGACTGTGTATCATGGAAGGTAAGGGAAAAGAAGGTCCCCCTTTTTGCTCATTTATTCATTCAACAAATATACTTGAGGCCCTCATTTTGTGCCAGGCACTTTACTAGGTGCTAAGGAGCTAACGGTGAAGGAGATGGACACAGAGCCTGCTGTCACAGAGCAATCTAGTGACAGAAGAGAGCCTAAACAGAGGTAGACAAATCAGTGCATAAAGTCAGGTGGCAAATGACAAATGCAGCAAGATACAGGAGTGAGGTAGGTCGGTGGTGCTAGGCCAATGAACACCCAGGCCTAGGGCAGGAAGAGGGCATGAGGAAGGAAAAGCAAGCATGCCATGTACATGGAGCATGGTGGGTAAGGGCAAGAAAAGCTGAAGGTCAGAGGAGTAGCAAAAGCCAGAGTGGACAGGACCTTGTAGGCTTCAGGGAAGACTTGGATCCTATTCTGCGTGAGAAGGAATGTTAATGGAGTGGACCATGTTGAGAAGAGGGACATGGGCAGACTTAAAGTGATGCCTATGGATTCTGTGTTGAGAACAGGTGGGGTGGGGTGGCCAGAGTGGAATCAGGGAGTACATCCTGGATGCTCCAAACCAGTTACTCAGGCAACAGAGAGTATGGCTTGAGCCAAGGTGTTGGAGGTAGGGAGCAATGAGGCAAAGTCAAATTCTGAATGTTTTTTGAAGGTAAAGCTGAAATGGATTTTGTTGCAGTGGATGAGGGCTGAGCATAGGAGTGAAAAAAAAAAAAGAGGACTCAGAGATGGCTGCAAGGGTTTGGGTCTAAAGAAGTTAAACAGCAGAGCTGCCATTTTGTTAATGGGATGAGCCAGATTAGGAGGTAAATTGGGAGATGATTTTGGACTCTAAAGTTGGAGTTGTACATCAAACAGCCAAGTAGAGCTAGGTGGTTGCCTGCATAAGTCTGGAGTTCAGAGAAGAGGCTCTAACTAAAGGTACAAATTTGGGAGTGGGAAGCACATAGATGGTATTTGATGCGATAGGTTTGGATGAGCTCAGCAACGGGAGTGGATTTTGGAGAGGAAAAGTCATCCGGTGGCCCTTGTGTTTTCCAACATACAGAAATCAGCAAACTGAGCTGGATCAAGCAATAGAGAAGGAGCAGCCACTGGGGTTGGGTGGCAGGAGGAAGGAAGCAAGGACTAGCACAGTGTCAGATGATGCCCCAAGTTCAAATAAAGAAGTGGCACAGGTTTAATTTAATAACTGAGAAGTACTGAGTATTGAGCTTGATGGGAACGGTGCCAACCCTGCGGTGAGGAAGCAGAGGATAGGTCACTCCTGGGGAAGTCTGTCCATTGACAGTTTTCTATCTGATGGGGATTCAGAGAGGGGCAAGTGTGCACACAAAGGGGAAGAAAGCAGGCCTGTGGCTGCCAGTAAAAAATCACACAGAGGGAGTTACAGCCTCACAAGTGAGAGCAGGTGAAAGGTGAATGTTAAAAGCAGGTGATGTTGGAGGGCTCGTGTGTCAGGTTTGTGGATTCTGGAGAAGGAACAGAGGGACAGGGGAGGGTGAAGAGAGAGGGAACTCACGCATGGCAGTGGGGAGCAAGGGATTAAGAAGATATATGGCAGCCTATCTCCTTTATAGGAAGAAATCTGTCCCCAAGGGGAAGGAAATGCCACCCAGCCATGCCAGTGGGCCTCGGCAGTGAACATCCGACACCGGTACATCTACGTGGCCCAACCAGCACTGAACAGAGTCCTCGTGGTTGACGTGCAAGCTCAGAAAGTTCTACAGGTACATCTCTCTAAGGGAGGGGGCAGTGGGGGGCTTCTGGTTCTGGGGCACAGCTTGTTACATTCCTCTTGGCTTTCTGCACCCTGCCCAGCTCCTCTGAGAGACAGTCAGATTGAGGAGTGGGAGAGCAAAGAAGATTCATGTCCAGCTACTATGTGCCAAGCGCTGTTCTAGGGTCTTGGAAAACAGCCATGAATGAGCAGTGAAGCCCCAGAATTTAGATTCTAGACTGAAAGGCCATAAATCAGAGTGTTAGAGAACCGTAAATTCTAAGAGCTATTTACAGGTCAAATGTGAGAGAGGAACTGGAAGACTGTTTTGTTTTGTTAAGATTTTATTTATTTATTCATAAGAGAGAGAAAGAGGCAGAGACACAGGCATGTGGGACTCCGTCCCGGGACCCCAGAGTCACACTCTGAGTCAAAGGCAGACGCCCAACCTCTGAGCCACCCAGGTGCCCCTGGTAGACTATTTTTAATTGGCTCTTGCTCTGGAGGTAAACAGATTCTGAGATCTAGGTGCTCAGTGGGCCTCCCAGTGTGGGAGCAGAGGGCTGGCCGTGGGGGCTGGAGTACAGTGAGAAGCGGGGAGAGCGGGGTATGGTGAGGGTAGAGGTAAATCACAGCCCAAGCCACTGAAAGCTTTTCATCCAGGGAGTGATCTAATCTGACTTACATTACTAAAGAGTCAGGCTCTGTTAAGAACCGATGGCAAAGCAGAGCAGAGTCATGGCTACTGAAATAATTCATGCAAGAAATGCAGACAGCCGTGGAGGTGGTGAGAACTGATCAGATTCCTGACAGGTTTTAAATGTGGAAAGATTCTCTGCTGGGTTGAATATAAGTTTTGAGAGAGGGACATCAGGTTGTTTAGGGGCTTTTTCATTTGAGGAACTATAGAATGGTGATGCCATTTACTGTAAGTGGTGGATTGAATAATGGCCCCCAAGATATCCACTTCCTTATGCCCAGAACCAATGAATGTCACCTTCTTGGACAAATAGGACTCTGCAGATATGATTAAATTAAGGTTGTCTAAATGGACTGTTACTTGGGATTACCTGGGTGAACCCTACCTCAATGAACATGCAAGTACCCTTATCAGAGGGAGGCAGGGAGAAATGTAGCTGTGGAGGAGCAGGAGGCAGTGTAAGGACTGAAGCACACTGGGGTACTGCTGGCTTTTAGGATGGGGAAGGGACCACAAGCCAAAAAATGCAGTTATAGGGACTGGAAAAAGTCAAGTAAACACCTCCCCTAGAACCTCTGGAAAGAGCACTGCCCAGCAGACACCCTTGTTCAGCCCAGTGGAATTAATTTTGGACTTTCAGCCTCCAGAACTGTAGGAGAATTAAATCTGTGTTGTTTTAAGCCACTAAGTATGTGGTAATAGGTTATCATAGCAATAGGAAACCAGTGTACTATATAGAGACTTCAGGCAAGGCAGAGGCATGCAGGCCATGGATCAGGAAGACAGAAAAATTAGGAATTTGGGTTTAAACCTGCCAAGTGTAAACTGCTATTATAAATGTTAGCTGGAAAAAAATAAAAATAAATGTTAGCTGGGCCACGCGTGTGACTTAGTCAGTTGGGTATCCAACTCTTGATTTCAGCTCATGTCGTGATCTCAAGGTTGTGGGATCAAGCCCTGCATCAGGCTCCACGCACAGCAGGAGGTCTGCTGCTCTCCCTCTGCCCTTCCTCTCTGCTTGCACTCTCACTGTTTCTCGTTCTCTCTTTCTAAATAAATTTTTTTTAAATGAAAACAAAAATGTAAGTAGAGCTGTCAAATAAGCAATTGGATAAACAGATCTGGAGTCCAACAGGACGTCTAGGTCAGAGATGTCAGTGTGAGTATCATCACCATACAAACTTAGATACAGAGAAGTGAATGAAATCACTGAAGGTAGTTCAGATGGAGAAGAGGTCAGGGTCGGAGCCCTAAAGCACTCCAACACACAAAGATCCGGAAGGAGAGAAGCAGCCAACAAAAAGACCAAGCAAGAGCAGTTTGAAAGGTAGGAAGAAAATTGGGGAGGGGAAGGGGGTTGAGGATTCCAGGAACCAAAAAAACAAGTGTTTTAAGGAAGACTTTGTGGTCAGTGATGTCAGATATAGCTGAGAGCGTTTGTGTGTCATGAAGACTAAGAATCAACCAGTTAGTGGGTCAACTGTCAGTCACTGGATTTGGTATCACATGGATCACCTTGGCAGGAGTAGATAAAATGATCATGGAATACAAGCTTGAGGTCATAGAGATGGTGAATACAGACAACCAATTTGAGGGGGTTTGCTCTAAATATAAGTAAAGGGTGTCAAATGAGGCAGTGGGTAGAAGAGCATACTGAAGAAGCTTTTTTAGAATAGGTGACATTACAACATTTATGTATATAGGTGTGTGTGTATAATGCTAAAAAAAAAAAATTAAAAATTAAAAAAAAAAAAAAACCTTCCACACGTTCCCTTTTTTCTGCATCACTGAAGTAAGCAGGAGTCATTGGAATCCAGGGCAGAAAAGTAGACCTGCTAGCTTTAGATAAAAGCACATTCTTTCATAAAACAGAAGGAAATGGAAAATATTCAGGTACACTTACAAAGAGGTGACAGTTACAGTTGGTGGTAGACGGATGAACATCTCCTGTGGTTGCTTGTATTCTCCCAGTGAAATAAGAGGGGAAATTATCCCCAACCCTGGAGGTTTGAGGAGAGAGGTGAAGGGTGCATTTGAGACTGAACTGAGCAAGGCACGGTGATAGGACTGCTGAGTGAATGTAAAGGCCTGCTGAAGGATGGTGGATATAAATAGAGAGTGAGACCAGTTGTCAGGGTTGTGGTTTTTCCTCCCAGTGATGCCCTGGTGCACACCCATTGTAGGGGAAATTGGGACATAAGCAGGATTGTGGCTTCTCCAGGCCAGTTGGGCAGAAGACTTTCTGTTATTGATTTTTCTGGCCAGAGAACATACTCTGAATAATTTCAACCCTTTGAAACTCATTGAAGCTTGCTTTATGACCCAACTTAGGATCAATGTGGATAAAAATGTTCATTTGCACTTTAAAAGAAAGTGTGTCCCAATGTTAGGTACAGTATTCTGTATATATGTCAGTTATGTCAAGTTTGTTCACTGCATTGTTCAGATCTTCTAAGTGATATTTCACTTTGTCCACTATTAGCTGCTGAGAGGTGTGCTGAAGTCTCACCCTGCGATTAGAGGTTTATCTAAATTCTATCCATTTTTGCTTTAAAAATGTAGTGAATTCCTAGGGCAAAGGTTTCTTCATTCTTATAAAATATCTCTATCTCTGGCAGTGCTTCTTGCCTGAAAGTCTGTTTTTGTCTAATACTAGTCTAGACAGATCAGATTTCTTTTGATTAGTGTTAGCGTGCTGTATTTTTGCCATCCTTTCACTTTCAACTTTTCTATGTCCATTTATAAAGTTACATGTGTTTAGGTTTTGGCTTTTATCTAGTATAATAATCTTGATCTTTTACTTAGATCATTTGCTCCATTTATATTTAATGCAATTAATGATGTAGATAATAGATAAATCTATCATCTTACTGACTTTTTTATTTGACCTACCTGTTTGTTCTTTTTTCTCCTTTTTACTGTCTTTTGGATTAGTCCAATATTTTTATTCTATTATTGCTATTACTACCTCAGATTATAACCTGCCTCCTTCCCTCCATACAGTCCCATATAATTTGACTTCACTTCCCCAGTAGTGATCAAACAACAGTACAACAGTAACTCCTTTAACTCCTCTCCTGCCTTTTGCATGATTGTAGGAATGAATTTTAAGTCTGTTTATAATTGAATCCCACATGAGCTTAGCATTACTCTGTACAGTTGATAGTCATTTATATTCACCCACATATTTACTTTTTTCACTGCTCCTTATTCCTTCCTAAAGTACACAGTTCCGTCTGGGATCATTTTCACTGTGACTAAGGACTTTTTTTTAATAGTTCTTTTACTGCACATCTGCTAGTATTACATTCTCACAGTTTTTGTTTGTTTGAAGAGAACTTTATTTGCACTTTACTTTTAAAGACTGTTTTCACTGATATAGAATTCTACTGTGGCAATTATCCTCACTCAGCGTTATAAGATGCGGTTCCATTGTCTTCCATTGTTTTGTTAGTGGGTCAACTGTCAGTCACCCTTTGGAAGGTCATGTATCGTTTTTCTTCTGACTACTTTCCAGATTCTTTGATCTTTAGCAATTTTATGATGATGTGCCCAGGGGGATGGTCTTTGTATTTATTCTGATTTGAATGTGTGGCTTGATACCTTTCATGAGATTGGAATTCTCTCTTCTTTGGAAACTGTTAAAAAAAAAAAGACATTTTCATTGTGTGCTACATGTCTCTTTTACTCTTTTGTTCCATCCTTTTTTGTTTCTTCATGCTTCAATGTTAGTATGTTCTATCAACTTGTCTTTCAGTTCACTAGTCCTGTCTTCTGATATGCCTAATATGGATTTAACAGAACCTATTGAGTTCTTCATCTGAGGTATTGCATTTATTTTTACTTAATTACAAATTTATATACATAAATAGAATTATCTTTTTATGAATCATTTGTGGGTCTGCTTCTTTTGTATTTTTAATAGTTTTTAGTTATATAGTCTATATCTTGTACTGCCTAGTAATTTTTTAAATGCTTAGCATTCCATATACAAAAAGAAAGACTTGAGAGAGCTCTCAACCACCAAAGAGACTTTACCCTTTCCTCTGCTAGCCAGAGAGAGTAGACAATGAATCGCTTTAGCCAAGTACTAAGTTGAATCAAGGCTGAATTGAAGGTTTTATTTATTTATTAATGAGAGACACAGAGAGGCAGAGGGAGAAGCAGGCTCCCTGTAGGGAGCCTGATATGGGACTCAATCCCAGGACCATGACCTAAGCCAAAGGCAGAAGCTCAACTACTGAGCCACCCAGATGCCCTGACATGAAGTTTTTTTTCATAAATTTATTTTTTATTGGTGTTCAATTTCTCAACATATAACACCCAGTGCTCATCCCATCAAGTGCCCACCTCAGTGCCCGTCACCCCCACCCCCCGCCCACGACATGAAGTTTTTTAAGGCTTACTCTGCTTTGATTCATTCCTAGACCTAGAGGTTAGCCTAGGTTTTTAACTGAGAGCCTGGTATGTTCTTCAGTATCTTTCCCCCTCCATATCTTTCTTTGCTCCTCAGTATATTAAGACTGTAGAACTCTGTTCTGAATTTGAGATTACTGGTTTAGCTCTTCAGTCTCCTAACTCTACACCAACTTCAGAATGAGAATATGAATTATGATAGGAGAAGTGTAAACAGAAAGGGGAGAGGTGGCTACAGTCTAAACACTAGGGAAATTTTACTGTGAAGAGGGCAGGCAAATGGGGTAGCTAGAAGATAATGTGTAATCAAGAGGGTTTTTAAAAGAGAGAGACCAAGAAACTAGAGACATTGTCAAGATGGTATTACTGCTGGTGGGGTTAAGAAGTCCTGGGTACAAGAAGAACATGCCAGATCCTGAAGCCTCTAGCAAATGAAGGGAAGCAACCAGGAAGCTAGGAAATGCTGGAAACAAGGAGGAGTAGCTGAAGGCAGTGAACATCAGAGTTTATGAATATAGGAAGAGGCTTCAGGGGCTTTTAATTAGAGCAAGAAAGTGAACGGGAAATTCAAAGATGGTAATCAATGGGGAAGAAATATATGTGAGCAGAGAGGGGCAAGATCAAGAGTTCAGTTTTGTATTTGTGGAGGTCATGAACAGGGGAATGAGTTCTGAAGTCATCAAAGTACAGCAGGTTATCTGAGGCCATGGAATTAGATGAACTCAGCCAGAGAAAGGATGTAGAGAGAATAAGGTCAAAGATGAAGACCTGAGACATGCCAGCATTCACCAGTCAGAATGAGAAGAGAAGCTTGGGGTATGAGAGGCTCAGAGAATAAGACATTTCTGGAAGGGAACAGTTAACCATGTAGAATCTTGCTGAAATGTCTGAAAGGAGGATCACAAAGTGATCTCTGAATCTGACACAAAGGTCTGGAGCAGGTCAGTGGAATAATGAAGACAGAAACTCGATGGGAATATTAAAGAAAGTAGATTCATAGACTCCACAGACAATTCTTCAGAGAGGTTTTGACCGGTAGGTACAGATGGGTTTTACCCCCCAGAAGGCTGACATCAGTTAACAAAGGGAGTGGCTGGAGAATGACTGGATGAGCAGGGGTCCTAGTCCAGGGCTATGAACCTAATGGAAGAGACTTTTGGAACTTAATAAAGCTACGTTATAAAGAAGTAGAAAACAATTGCATTGGAGAGGGCCACAGGGAGGCTGTCTTCTCCAAGGGTAGCAGAGTTTCAGTTATAGCAGTAAAAAAAAAAAAAAAAAAAAAAAAAGTCTGCCTGATTCTAGAGTGTGGGTCCCAGAGACGCCAGTGGAAGGATGTACAGATAGAAGCAAAGCTAAGAGATGGGTGATAAGAGATGATCTCAGAGTCAGACTCAGCTGGCACAGGAGGAAGGGCCACCTCACCAGAATCTCAGCCTGGAGAAGGACATTGAGGGCTCTAGAGGCCCCAGATGCTTCTGGGAGCAGTGGCCAGAGTACACTGCAGCTGATTCTTGAGGGAAAGCATAAAGCCCAAATCTGGGTTTGGGCTTTTGCCAAGATGGCCAGGGTCCCGTTAAGTAAAACATGCAAGAAGTTTTTTAAAAGGGATTAAATTACTGACAAGAGTTTTATGACCCTAAAACAAACCCAGAACCCAGAAGGGAGACAAACCCAGAAGGGAGGCTTATGCCCTGGGTTCCCAAGCAGGCTCAGTGCCACGGCTGCTAGGTTGGCTTTCCCCTCCCCGAGGCATGATGGTCATGTATACAAAGCCCAGAAACGACCACTGTGTCAGCTTCTCATAATGATGACCGACTTGTATTTTTTTTTCAAGTCCATAGGTGTGGACCCTCTGCCAGCTAAGCTGTCCTATGACAAGTCTCATGACCAAGTGTGGGTCCTGAGCTGGGGGGACATACACAAGTCCCACCCGAGCCTCCAGGTATGTTGAACACACGGAGACCAACATCACCCCCATGGAAACAAAGGACGCTGTCCCTAATACATGTCTCTTGCTTCCCTAGGTAGCTAATCACATTTATCCAAAATGTATCCATCATGGCTTGAGGAGGGAGTAGGAAACAGCCTTGAGCCAAAGCCCCTCACAGACCATTACCAGAGTATCTTCAGCCAGGCCTACCTTTAAGGACAATAATACTGATGATGGATAAGATTCTGATGTCAGGACAACCAGAATGTGGCTCCCAGGCTCTATGTCTCCTGAACCAAGGCTTTCCTCACCTCAGGCTCGGCAGGCTAGGAACAGTGTCAAAGCATATGCTAGATGTGGGCCTATAAGGAAGGAAAAGTAGCACAATCATGTCCATAAATGGAAGCACCTTTACTGAGTGCTTACAGTACGTTAGGGCACAGAAACATTCAGTAATGTGCCCATGGTCCAATCCAGCAGCAAAGCTCTGCAGCCCAATATTCAGCCACTGAACTGCACTGCCTCTTGGAAACAGTTTGGGCCCAGGAGCACTGTGGGATTCCCCTGTCCACCAGCCAGAGAAGGTCAACACTCCTGTGCTGAGTGTGCCTGCCTCTGCCTTTCTCATCAGGGATGATGAGACAGCCTCTAATGCTAGAGGATTAAGCCCTTTAAAAAGTGATTTGAATGCCTGATTTCTCCCAGAGATCTACATAGAACCATTCTAGATGCACAGGAGAGAAGCTAATCTGTTTCATACACTGGATGCCTCCAGACATTAGAGCTTCATTATCTCAGAACCCCAGCTGAGAAGGACTACAGAGGGAGCCAAGTTCACTCTGTTCTCAAGACTGGGAAGAGGGAAGGGGCATCTGGGTCTATGGAAGCTTCCACCAGGGGACTGGCCACCTGCCTGCCTGCCTCTCCACTGGTGGGCCAGGGGGTAGACACTGTTTTACCTCCTATAAGCTGAGACTATTGTCATTTGATGGATGCCATCAGCCTGGGCCCCAGTGAGCTGATGAAAAATCCCCATTAGAGAGTCTACGAGCCTGAATAAAGGTCATTCACAGCAGAGCATGAGCCCAGGGAAATAACTTTTATTGGTACTTCTGGCAGCTCCAGGAAAGCCTCTCCAGTAGTAATTCAAGGGGAGGAACCACCAAAAATTTTTTTTTTCTGAAACCAAATATGACAAAAATTCCCTAATTTACTGCAGATGAGCTGAAAAATGCATGGCTTCCTAGGTTATCTATAAAGGAAAAAACATTGGATTGGCACTGGGTTTCTCACCTGCCACAGCAGCTGGCAGACCATGGAAATCTACAGGGCTGAAATCCAAGAGTCCTATTCCCAGCCCCGGCAGGACCAAAGAAACCCTAGGTGCAAGAAATTCAGAGAGTGCATCATTCTCCTGCCCTCTCTGAGGAACAGAATTGAGGAAAGATCCCAGACAAACACCAGATGAACCAGATCAGAGACATTGAGATGAAGAAAGAGAAGGAGGAGACAGTTGCAAAGAATGAACCCAGAGAAGTAAGACGGATGAGGACAGACTCTCAGGAAATGGTAATAAGTGCTAAATAAGGATGTCTGGATTAAGAGAGACACACTCAATGAGAAATCCTGATACCAGTCTGCAGTGGAAGATAAATTATTTCAGTCAAAGTAAGCATAGGGAGTGGAGGAAAGGAGAGAAAGTAAAACTACTTAGAAATACCTTATTGGGATAAGGGAAGGTTCAGAGAATGCTGTTGGAAAGTAGCAGCTGGGAAGAGACTGTCTCATTATTCCAAATATGACAAACTGATTCCTCTGAACAGCAGAGATAATCAGACTGGGTTAGGAAGGAAGCGAACTAGAACTTGTCTATGAGAAACACACATGCAATAAAGAGAATAAAAGGTTGAATTTAAAGGGGCAGGAATAGTGAGGACCGATGAACAAGTATGTATTCACAATGCCCCTCGTGTTTATGGTTGAAAGCACTAGAAAGAGCAAACAGAGAGAGATACTGTGTGCTTAACAGCCACCAGGAGATATCAGGCACCATTAACAATGAAATGCCTCAAACAAGAGTGATTAAAAATAAAGGAAAACTTGACTTAAAATGCACTTAAATTGTACAAATAAGATGAAAGAATAACATGGGAAAGTTGAGTAATGACACCACTTGCTTATAATATAAATGTTGCATCTGCAAAACTGTTTTTTCACACATCCACACAAGTGTATCATTAACCACAAGGGAAACAAATCCTGTAAAAGTAGACATTATAGGCAGCAGTATCTGATAATTAGAAATAATTAAAATGACCTAGTAAGAAAACACTCCTTTATAACTATGGATCAAAAGGGAAATTACATACTGTCTCAAAAGCAATGATAAAGTGACTCTTAGACATCTAGAATGATGGGAGATGGAGAAGGGTGGGCACCCAGGGTACCTGTGTCTTAAAAGCCCACAGAAGAAGTACTTGTGTTAATAAATGAGAATAAGAAGAGAGTGGTAAGACGGAACAAGACTGGGAAATGAATAAAAACAAAACAGGACAAAGAGATAAAAACAGAAATCCTTCACAAGCTTGAGAAAGGGAGACATAATGAGGAGGTGGGAAGAGAGTGTCACTGCAAATAAGGAGGATACAAAAAACTGGAAAATAATACATCACAACTCTGAGGCAGAAAGTTTTAAAACCTAGAAGTGAATGATTGCTTGCAAATTGTAGGAAAAAAAAAAACTGACCTAATAAAACACGAGGCTCTTGATCTCAGGGTTTTGAGTTCGAACCCCCACCCTTGGGAGTAAAGCCAACCTAAGGAAACAGAAGCCTGACATAGAACAATAATTACAGGTTTTTGAAAAGATTAAAGAGCTGCCACAAAAAAGTGTACAGCTGAATTTTATCAAACCTTCAAACTATAATTTTAATATTATTTGAACTGTCTCAGACCCCATGAAGGGAAATGTACAGCTTCTTTGTCTTAAATTGCCACCCTCATTTTAATTATAAAAGCTGACTAAAATTTGTATAAAAAAATAAAGCTATAGACTCAGCTCACTGATGAATACAGAAGCAAAATGGTCAATATGGTATTAAAAATAGAGTCCAGCAATGCACCTGAATGCAGGGAACAAAGTCCCGGGATACAATGATGGCTCACTTTGAGGAAATCAGGCAATATTATCTTAACACAAAAAAAATGAAAACAGAAAAAAAACATATTTTCAATAAATGCTGAGAAAGCATTTAATTAAATACAGCAGACATTCTTAATAAAAAATATCCAAAAACATGCGTAAAAAGGAAATTTCTTAATGAATACTCTTGCCCCAAAACCAAGAGCAAATTTTGCCTGAATGGCCAAACACAAAAAGCATGTTGGTTACTATTGGAAATTACACCACGATGTCCACCGTCACAAGGGCAAAGTCTAGAAACCAGGCCTTGACAAGTGAACAGATTGAAGAACCTGCCTTCATCACTGTGGGTGAGGGCTAAAGCAACTGCTACTTGCAAACACTCCTGGGAATGTCAAGTGGCACGGCCCTGTGGTACCCAACTTGGAAATGAGAACCAAAAGCCTCAAAGCAGTGAGTCTGCATCCAGCAACCTGACTTTTCACAACCCACCCAAAAGCCATGATCATGGACATGGACAAAAATTTAGCTACATCATGTGTTTCTGCACTGTTTCTACGGGCAAAGCCAAAAATAATATCCAACACTGGATATTTCTTGGATGTTTCCAACACTTGGATGTTTCTCAATATCCAACACTCAGGAGCTGGTTAAACAAAACTTTGCTGGGACCACTTGAAGGTGTTTCTAGAAATGAAGCTACCTCCCTCAGCAGCCAGTTTTGGAAACTTTGGCGTCCTCTTGAATCCTCCGTATCATTCATTTGCCCACTAGTCCCAGGATGTCAGGCCAAGAAGGAAGTCAAGACTTGTCAGAGAAATGAGGCGGTGGCGCACATCAGTTCAATGGCCCGCAGTGCTGCGTTTTGATGAAGTAACCTCTGAATATAGGGTGTCAGCGTGGTGAAGCGTGAATGACACTGACCGCTGACAGCCTATAATTTTCCATCTCTATTAGAAGCTGAAATGACAGGCCTGATCTCAAACAGGGATCATATGGCTTCTTGGAATTCTCTAACATTTTCCCCTGTTTCCTCAGGCTGGTATTAATGCCCAACTTAGGAGTTTTTTCCCCATGCACTTGCCATGTAAGTGTCATTTGGCCATTTTAAAAAACCACAGAAAAATAACCTAATGCAATGTTACAACTGTGGAGCTGCCCCGAGGCTAACAATCACAGGCCTCGTCTTTCCGATCCAGCATCCTGCCCGCTTTAGCAGCCCACAAGGGCACCACAATTGGGAGAGGCCTCAACCCTGCCTCAGGAGGCAGGCCACGTGTTGTTTGTTTTCCCATAAAAGTAAGAGCCCGAAGGCAGTCCTATTCTTAAAAGGTAAGAACGTCCAGAACTCCAGGCCTCCTGAGTCACAAAGCCCCAAGAGACACCGTCCTCCGCCTCAGGCTAGACCCCTCATCGGCCACAATGTCAAGATAAGGAAAAGTGTCTCAGCTCTGTGTTGAGGCACTAGCTCCCCCTCTTCTGCTCAGAGTGTCTGGGCTTCACCTGTGGCCTTTCAGCCAGAATGGCCCACCAGCCGGCCAAGCTCCTCATCTGGCTGCAGGTCACCCTCCTTTCAGGACCCTGGCCTAGAACTGGGGACTGATGAGCACCTGCAGGAGGCAAGGGGACCCAGGCTGCCCGGCCCACATCTCTGGCCTATGCCCAAGACAGTGGTAACCGAGGGGCAGATGCTCAGCCCGACTGCAGGAGGCCTCCTGGCAGGACCTCCAAACCTCGCATCCTGACCGCGCTGGGCTCTGTGCTGCATTGCCCGCATGCTCCTCCCCGACACAGACCCAGCAGGGCCTCTGCACACCAGAGAGCGGCTGCAGCCACCTCCTGCCAACGCCACAGGGGATCAAGTGTTACCTTCAGGGAAACAGAGGCAACGATGCTGTCACTCCCAATCTGTACAAAAGTCAGTGCCTGGTTCTTGATTTCTCACAGCAGGTCCTTTCTGCAACTGGACCCGATCCCCAGCATTCTAATTGCAAGGCACTTAAATAGCAAGAGCAGCATCTTTGAATGGCATTTCTGCAGGATTCCTGCTTTCTCCAGTAAATTCTGGAGTCACATTTCCCAGAGAAACGCCTCTGTGAGCAGTACAGGATAGAGATTCCCAACAAACGGGCCCAGACACCTGGCACCAAAGGAAAATATGGAACCAGTAAATCACTCCACCCAGTAAATCACTCCACCATTTAACTTTTTCGTGATTTAAAAGCTCTCTCCCTCTTTTCCCAGGGTGGCCTGGATGGGATTCTGAGTTTTAAGGGAGATGGTCTCTGAGCAGATTGATCTTTCTGTTCTGGAGACCTCTCTGGAAAGCCCCAACATGGTCCCTGCTATGCTATCAGGGGGCTGACAGTGTACCTTATGGTTAGGGTCAGGCCTGCCTGAGCAGGAGGCATGATTCAGGCGTTCACATCTGTCCCAACACTTCCTCTCCCCAGAAGGATGAGTCCCTGAGTATGATCTTCCCAAGTAGCTCCCACTCTGCTCCTGCCCACCACCACCCCCATCTCTCAAGCAGCCTGTCTGCTAAGGGTCCCTACTAGCACATGCAAATGTTTCCAGATTTCCTGCCCCTACTTGGGTGGACTCTCATGAGGACTTCTGCTCTGTGTTGTAGGTGATCACAGAAGCCAGCACTGGCCAGGGCCAGCACCTTATCCGCACACCTTTTGCAGGAGTGGACGATTTCTTTATTCCTCCAACAAACCTCATCATCAACCATATCAGGTGAGATGGGCCTGCAGTGTCCCAAAGCTCCCCCATAACTCAGCTCAGCCCTACATGTGGCTACATCTGCCCACTGTGAGACTTTCGTCTCTTTCTCTCCCACTCCTCCTGAGCTGGCCTTGGGCTCCCTCATGAGGGAACAGAGAAATGGACCATCCCTAGTCCTTGATGGTCATAGTTAAGGAAGGCACCCAGGCTCCTACCACCTTCAGAGGCCCATTGAGGACAGGAAGTCTCACTCTCAACATGAGGACCATAGAAGAATGGAATCAACTGTACTTAATGGAGCACACTCTACCTACTAGACACACACACACACACACACACACAGACTAGTAAAAGTGGTGTTGACCCCTTATTACAGATGAGGAAACAGACTCAGAGAAGCTAAGACCCTGGCCAGGAGGCCCCAGAGCAGCCATGCAGAGGCGGGGAAACGGGCCCTCCTAGTTGTCTTGTTTATCACCATCCAGAAGAACAGCCTAATAAAGGCAACCATGGTCTCAACTGCAAACCTCCTCCCAGCCTGGCCACTCCCCCTGCTTATTCATTTTAGAGAACCCCCAGCACTTACTGTAAAGTCACCACTGCTGAAGACAAAGCCTGCCCTCATAAAATCACTGAGACGCCAAACGTCTTGGGGGCACTATTTATGCCTTTCTTTTGTCTGCCATCAAACCCCTTTCTCCAACAAGTAGTACCTCATTTTTGTACACTGAAACTGGACTTCTAAAACTAGGCCCATCCATTTATGGGCCCAAGGATGAAAATGCCCTTTAATGAGCCCCTCCCTATAGACAGCACCTGGGAAGAGCTTCTAAGATGGCTCTAAAGCCATCTTGAAACCCCTCAAAGAACATGAATTCAGCCAGGAGTCTAGCAAATTTACGGGCTCCACATTGCCTATGTGTGGCCTTCTACATTCAAACTGCTTTTAAGAGTGGGCTCCTCTCTCCTGCTCTTTCCATGCTCTGGCTTTTTTTTTTTTTTTTTTAAGAATTTATTTATTTATCCATGAGAGAGACAGAGACAGGCAGAGACACAGGCAGAGGGAGAAGCAGGCTCCATGCAGGGAGCCCAATGTGGGACTCGATCCCAGGACCCCAGGGTCATGACCTGAGCCAAAGGCAGACCTCAACCCCTGAGCCACCCAGGTGCCCCCCAAAGCTCTGGCTCTTTAAGAATGCTTCAAAGAGGGCATTTCCCCCACTCTGAGGCTTAGTTAGGTATCCATAAGCACCGAAAGGCACCCCTGAGCCAGGGATTTAGGCAGAGGCTCTCAAATCAAAGCCAAATCCTGCCTGGAGTCAGGTCTCCCTGCAGCTCGCAACTCGCCTCCAAAGCAGACTTTCACCGAGTCCAGATGTGAGCAGCTACCACCTACTGAGCCCTTCCCCTCCAGCTCCCTGTTTGATCCAGTCCTCCCGAAAACCCTCGAGGGAACTGCCCTCTTTTAGTGTCTCAGAGGCTCCAGCGCAAGCCCGGCTCTGCAGCCGGCAGGGCAGTGCAGTGACGCCGTGGCCTGTGGCCGTCTGACTGCAGAGGTAAAAGCTGTCTGCTGCCCGCCCTGCAGCAGGCGATTCGGCCCACAGGCCTAGTAAACAGGACCCCAAGAGAGGCTGCCCCTCCACGGGGCTCCCCCTGGGAAGTGTGTCCTCGTTGGCTCCCACTGGCTGCTCACATTCTGACTCTGTATTTAGTCCAGGGAACAGCCGCAGAGCCCTCGCCTCTGCTGATCCTCCCAGCAGGCAATCAGGGCTCCTGGCCTTTCCCGCCAGGCTTGGGCCCCTGCTTCCCAGCTGGCACCTCCTCAGGGAAGCAGATCTGAAGACATCCCAGAGGGAGAAGCTGTGGAGGGCACTTCCATGCTCCTTCTTTACCACTGCTGGAGATGAAAGCATAAATCCAGGAGCATTTGTAATTCAACTGCCTTTGGTTTGACATCATAGATGAATCAGGGAAGAAGCCATGCCCCGCAGGATGGTACATGTAATTAAGAAGCTATTAGATCACTGAAGGATTACGGTCCAGGGAAGGGAAAAGATGCAATCCTGTAGGCGAATGACAGATGCCCTGCCCACCTCTGACCTCAGACCTTCCCTCGGCAGGTTCGGGTTCATCTTTAACAAGTCGGATCCCGCGGTGCACAAAGTTGATCTGGAAACACTGGTGCTCCTCAAGACCATCAGCCTCCAGAGCCACGGCTGCGTGCCACGAGCCATGGCCCACAGCCACCTGGGTGGCTACTTCTTCATCCAGTGCCGGGAGGACAGCCCTGTGGCCGCCGCGGCCCAGCTGCTGCTCGACAGCGTCACAGACTCCGTGGTGGGCCCCAACGGCGACGTGACTGGCACCCCCCATGTGTCCCCCGATGGGCGCTTCGTGGTCAGTGCCGCCCCCAGCAGCCCCCAGCTGCATGTGCAGGAGATCACGCTGCAGGGCCACATCCAGACCCTCTACAGCCTGCCACTGAGCCAGGGCGTCTCGGACGTGGCCTTCCAGCCCTCCTTCACGCAGGGCAATCAGTATTATGTCTATGCCAGTGCGGACATGGAGCCAGACCTGCTGTTCCTGGAGCTGTCCACGGGGCAGATGGGCGCCCTGAAGAACTTACAGGAGCCGCCCGCGGGCCCGGCCCAGCCTTGGGGGGGGGCCCGCAGGATCGTGAGGGACAGCGGGCTCTTCGGGCAGTACCTCCTCACGCCCGCCCAGGAGTCGCTGTTTCTCATCAACGGAAGGCAAAGCACCCTGCACTGCGAGGTGTCGGGCGTAAGGCGGGGGACCACGGCCGTGTGGGTGGGCGAGGTATGAAGGCGCCCGGCGCAGAGCCCAGGCCCCAAGCTCCTAGTCCTCACTCCGCAGCCCCAAGCAGGCGCCCTGTACATTTTTACAGACAAAAGCAAAACCTGTATTCGCTTCGTGGTTCAACACTGGTCTCCCTGCAAGTTTCCTAGTATAAGGTATGCGCTGCTAACCAGATTGGGGATTTTCATTGGGAAGTATGATTTATGCCTTGAGCTACGGTGAGAACACATGCTGCTGTGTAAAGGAATCATGTCTGTGCCCAGCTCCACACCATGTCACCCGGGGACGCCGTGGAACCAGAGCTCCGGCTTTCCGGGCTGACACTTCTGTCGGTTGCCTTCATGCACTCATTGCCCCTCACCGCCGGGTCCGGCCAGACTTTGCCCTGACGAGCAGCCCGAAGGCCGGCCCAGAAACAGGCTCCCGGGAGCAGGGCTGCGGCTCCAGGCATGAGAGCCACGTCTGCCCGCGTCCTGAACCCTCTCTTCTCTGCACAGCTGCTTTGTGCTTTTCTTTCCATGTGACTTGGTCTCAGCCTGCGGGAGAGCCGACAAGACTTCTTGCATCTTGGGGGATGGGGAAATCACTTACTTTATTTTGGAAATTTTGATTAAAAGATAATTTTTTATAATCTGAAGTGCTAGTAAGCAGAAAGATGCTCTCCGCCGTCCAGCCCTATTCCTCCCTGCCTTAGGCCAAGTCTCTAAGGGTCACCACCCCAACACCCCACAGCCAGAAAGAACAACGATCATCCAAGAATAGTGGACCCTCCACACCATGGACGCCCCAAGCGCAGATCTGGCTACCACCTTGGCAAAGACTTTGTTCCGGGTTGGGCTGCAAAGAGACCAGGACACACCCTGCGTGCCTGCTTTTTATCACTGAAGGGGGAGGTTTGATTAGCCAGGCCCAGGACTCCAGCTTCAGGGCAGACCGGGCTTGCCAAGCAGAGTGGGGGTGGCCTACAGAACAGTGACCTCCAGGTGTAACACAGACACCCCAAAGACACCTGTAGGGTCCAGGTGGGTTCTGTACGCTGTTTTAAAAATCCTTTTCTGCCTGTGGCCCTCACACTCAGCTCTAGGACTCCAGTCCTTCCATCAACATGGCACAGATAGTACAGTTTAGGATTCTCATATGTGGGCCCATCTATCCCTAGTAACACACTGCAAAACCCACACTCAGAAGGATGCCGGGGGTGGGTAGGGAGAAGGATACAGGCTGGCAGTGCTGCATGATCCCCAGTGTCTCAGACTCTGCCGGGCTAGCAGGGAGGCACCAAGGAACTATAACCCAGCCAGCCCAGGGAAGACAGCCCGTGTTAGAGAATGTCAGCCACAAAGAGGCTTCTCTGGGTCCCAGAACCCCCTTTCCTTCCTCCTCACTGCAGCCGCCAAAACACACTTGCGTACTTTCTGGCTTAAATGATCATATTTCAAGGCCCCTGAATTTGGAAGAGGTGGTCCCTCCCCAGACACCTCAGCCAGCGTAGCTCCCTTCACCTGGCAACATGGCCATGCTTTTCCTGTGCCGCCAATCACCAGCCCCGTGGAGGAGAAGATGGAAGACGGAGAGCCTGCCTTGCTCTATATATGCACAGCTCCCTTTCAGACTCACCTGACTGCCCAGTCCCATCCGGCCTCCCCACCACCTGCCCTGATTTCCTGAAATCATCTAGTCTCCTGGCATGTCCCATGTGGCTTAGTTCACCAAACACTCATCCCCTCCAGCTCCCAAGAGCCTGTCTAGATGTGCACATGGCATACTTCAGATTTGGGTACAGGTAAAATATGGAGCTACAGGTGAGGGGAATGGACTTCAAAAGCCACATACTCAGTCTCACAAGAGCTGGGATGGACGGGCAACACCACTCACCCTTTCTTTTATTCCTCTCTCAGTGTCTTGACACATTCACTTCCAAACTCCCACTTATATCACAGAAATTCTCCAATTTTCATCAACTTCTCCCTTTGGAAAAATCCACATGGTGGCAGCCCCTGGCAGAAAAAAAAAGTCTCCGAGCCTACCTGAGGAAGAGCCTAGCAACTGCCAGGCCAAAGCATTAGCCCCTTTGGGTCACAGGGTTTGAAAAATCAAAGACGCATCCAATCCTCACTGGCCTTTTGCACTGGGAGTGACTCTGTGGCAGCCATTGCTTTGCCCCATTCCGTGTGTTTCTAAGTGTCTGAAAAATGTCTCTGCCTCTCACTAACTCACCGTGTGGTTTACCAGAGATGCTGGCTCAGGGCCACGGCCGGGGTTCTGCACGCTACTGAATCGGAGCAGGGAAATGCAGACTTGAAAATTGTGAAATCTGTAAAGTCACAAAGGCAAGAGAGTACATGCTTTTTCTGCAGGGCAACCAACAAAACTGCTGGGGTGGGAGGCAGGCAAAGGGCTGGCCAGGTTGTCCCCTGCCCCTTCCAGCCCCAGAAGAGGCTCCTGGAACACTGTGTGAAAGTCACGGGTGTAAGAAACTACCACAGTAGGTGAGCCTTGCAGCCGATCCCACCAGCAATCCTTTTGCTGAACACAGATCAGCTAACGACTAATAATATGTCACACTACAGAAGCATTCATCTTACATAAGAAAGCCACTTTCATAATGAACTATTTCAAAATGCTAAATTTTAAAGTAAAATTAATTTCACAAAAATTTAACATAGTATATTTTTTTCCTGTAACAACTCAAATAATCGACACCTTTGCTGACATTAAAGACTGGAAACAGAAGTGTGCATGCTCCTTCTGCCCACATGAGCAGAACCCCACGTGGAGCCTCTGGGTGTAAAAAGCCCACCCAGCCCTCCACAGATTGATGGTGGTAAGAGGGATTGGTCAGTTTCCAGGCAACTGCATGGACTTTCTGCCTGGGAGGCTTGGGTGTGGAGCAAACACCTTTTAAATCCCACCATCCTCACCCCAGAAACCCCACCTGGGGCTGGCCTAGGCTTCTTGCCAAAGTCTCCCAGTCACTAGAGGATCCTACTACCTTCCCTGAGCCCCTGAAGTAGCTGGGAGAGCCCAGTGAAATCTGGCTGGAGCCAACCACTAATACCAAGCTCCAGGAACTTGGATCTAGAGGCATCATGAGCAAAGACAGAAACTCAGCCCTTACAATCTCCACCCCACCGCACCCCAGGCATCTCCTTCCCTTCTGCTCCTCTGTGCAGACAAGGGCTCCCAGCTCCAGGTAGGGCCCGGAGGACAGCTCTCAACCCCAAATAAAGCAGAGACCAGCCTGCTGCCCTGGCCAACCTAACTGCTGAGACTTCCTTTAGGAGAGCAGCCCGAAGAAGTTGGCTTTGTGCGGCCACAACTTCTCTTCTGTTGACCAATAACCTGTGAACTAAAGGAGAATCCAGATTGGAGACATGAAACAGATCCATTCTGGATATATTTTTCTACCAGGGGCTTACGATGTCACCCACTCATTTCTCACTGTGTGCCTCCTTCAAATATCGCAGACGCTGAACCATCTTCATCACCACATCCCACAACTCTGTCTCAGGTCCTCCCCTCTAGAAGGAAGCCTCCGGGTTACTGATGCCACTCCCACCCCCTCCCTCATACATACCGATCTACCTCACCTTCTCCTCCCTGCACCCCGCTCCTCTGAAAGCCGCCCCCACCCAGGGAGCCCAGTGGTGACAGAGGCTGATGATAATGCTGACATGAAGTCTTTTGGTGTCCTCCCCCACCCAGAACCCCACATCTTACTCCAAGTACAGTCAGAACCCACAGGGACATGGCCCTTTTCTACCCAGAATCATGACCCCCATGCCCTAGTTCACAGCCCTTCCAAGAGAGGTGACCAAGACCAGAGCCAACTCACAATCATCAGGGAAGTGGATTGCTGTCAACAGAAACCGTTGGACAGGAATATAGATAGTGATGACCGCCACCTGCCCCCCCACACACACCAAGCCTCCTTCCTTAGGGGGCCCGAGCGATACCTCTCTCATTCCCAGTTTACTGTCTGCATTTCTGGCTCCCCTCCTATGCCTCAGGCCTCCTGCGCATGAACCGTGCCACAGCTCCTACGATGTGAGGGGCAACTGACCTGCTGTCGCACCAGCCCTCTCAATGGCCTTGACCTATGCCACTACCTTGCTCTGAAGTCCAAATAAGAAGTTACTTATAGCTCTTGGCTTCAGTTTGCTCCCAGACTAGCATGTAGGCAGAGCAGTTTTGTTCAATAAAGTCACAAGCTGCTGTGGTTTCTCTCCCAAATTGTAGAGATTATAAAACAGGGAGAGGCTTAGAAGATTCAAAGGAGAAAATACATGGTGCCTGTCGTTAAGATGTGACTACAAGACCCCAAAACCCTCGTGGATTACCACCAGATTACCTGCCAGGTCACTTGAGAATGTGAGCATCTACTGGGAGTCTGCAGGCTTTAGGCACCAGCCACACTGTTGACACTGGGAGCCCAACAAACATGGACTCACGCCTTCTTTGGAGCTGTGGGCAGCAATAGGGATTTAAGCAAACACAATGTGTGAAATTATGGAAATACGGGGAGAGAAGGGATTGGCCTCCAAAACTTACAGCAAGGCTTCGTTAGCCAGCAGCGAGTGTTGACCATGTACTTTTTATTATTGTTCTTGGACAAACCCACAATTCACACACCCCTCTTTCCAAGCTCGTCTTGACTAATGTGGAAATATCTCTTTCTTCTGTGGCTCTAGAGAATGTGAGCCATATCCTAGAGGGCTCTAGAAGGGTTAGCCTGCACTCCACAAAACAATAACTATTGCCTTGCACGTACCCCAAGCATGGTGACCTCACCACATGTTACCATGACAGGATCGGAGTTCTTCAAGACTGAAGCTTCATTTCTGAGGAAGGGCAACTAGTCTTGGCTGATCATGGGGCCCGATTGCTCTTGCATGAGAAAATTTCCCTAAATCTAAACCTTTGTCCACTCCCCAGGGTGACATCTGCAACAGGCTTAAGAATTGCGGGTCCCTTGCTACTTTAGCTGCTTCAAAGAGGTGCGGGATAACAGGTCCATAAGCTGCCATCCCACACCCCACGGCACACCCAGGCTGGCTCCTGTCGCTGGCCAGCCCCCATGCCTGGCCTGGCCCCATCACACCCACTGTTCTCCCTGCTGCTCACACTTTCTGAAGGCCACATGAAGTGATCTCAGATGGCAGTGGGCGTGGCGTGTGGCTGGAGTGATCACACACACTGTTTCATGCTCTAGGATAGCGGAATGGCCCTCAAGATACAAAGTCACAGGTACATCCTTCATCCCGTTAAGATTCTCATCCTCTCCTGCCTCAGAATTCTTTCAGATTTCTTATTTCAAGGCAGATACATTATTTTGAGCTGTTGTGTAGACACCAAAATATATTTTCTGTAATCACCAGTTTTTCTCAAAAGGCCTCCTGTAATTACTATACATGTGAATTTTTCTTTATAAAATATATATAAATTATTTTTAATACATCAACTTTAGTAGAAATTTGTACCAACACAGTAACTGTATGTGGCATTTGAAATAAGTTTATGTTTACTTTGATGTATTGCACAGTATTGAACACACCGTGTAATTGCAGTACCACTTGATATGAAGACAATTCACAAATTATCGTAAAGTATTGTCATTGTAAATGCTCTTTTTCTGAGGATTTTACAATAAAATTTGAGAAAAGTGAACTTCGGTTCCTGCCAGTCTGTGTGCAGTAGGTAAAGTGAAAAAGGATTAAGGCAGGACCACACAGGTGCTTCTTCTCATTCTCCATCATCCTGCAGGTTCTTGAAGGGCAAAGGGAAGTGGCCTCTCCTCTCGCCTGCTCCAAAGAGCTGTGGACAAAGGCAAGCATCTGACCCCAGAACTCCCTTCCCTCATGTTGAAGTTTCAGCTCCCAACATGTACAACCAACATCTGGTTCAAAACTTCTCTTCACCTATCCTGGTCAATGCTTACAATTCACCACACTCTAACTAGCACCAGCTCTAACTGACGCATAACTCCAGTGACTCTTTATTCTTGTCAGGGAAGACCATCCAGCTAAGTTGCAGAATATATAAAGTCCTCAGTAATCACCAGGTTACCAGTGTGGCACACCTACTATGTGTGAGCACGGTGCAAGGTGTGGGGGATAGAGGGCTGCACGAAGCAGACACAATCCTTGACCTTGGTGAGCTTCATGTCCCACCATGACTATTAGTGCAGATTCTCCAGAGAAATGGAACCAATAGAGTGTGTGCCTGTGTGTGTGTGTGTGTGTGCATGTGCATGTGCATGTGCGTTAAGTGGGGAAAAGAGGGAGATTTTAAGGAATTAGTTCATGCAATTATTGACGACAGCAAGTCCAAAGTCTACAGGGTAGGCTGATAGCTGGAGACCCAGGAAAGGGTTGTAGTTTGAGTCCAAAGGCAATTTGTTAGCTAAATTCTTCCAAGGAGGTCAGTCTTTTTTTCTTAAGCCCTTCCACTGATTAGATGAGGCCCACCCACACCATGGAGGGTATCTGCTTTATTCCAAGTCTACTGATTTAAATGGTAATCTCACTGACAAAAACTCCTGTCACAGAAGCACCTAGAAGAGCATTTAACCAAATATCTCTCTAGGCATCATGATCCAGCCAAGTTGGCACTAAAATTAATCATCACAATGACATAAATAAGATGCGGCTCCTCCTCTTTCTTGGAGGAATGCTCTGTTATGTGCCAGGTGCTGCATGAACACTTAATAAGAACAAGTTTGAAACCTTACTGTTGGGACGCCTGGGTGTCTTAGCAGTTGAGTGTCTGCCTTTGACTCAGGGCATGATTCTGGGGTCCTGGGATCAAGTCCCACATCAGGCTCCCTGCATGGAGCCTGCTTCTCCCTCTGCCTGTGTCTCTGCCTCTCTCTCTGTGTCTCTCATAAATAAATAAAATCTTTTTAAAAAATAAAAATTAAATTAAAAAAATAAACCTGGGGACTCCTGGGTGGCTCACTGGTTGAATGTCTGCCTTTGGCCCAGCGTGTGATCCTGGAGTCCCAGGATCAAGTCCTGCAACAGGCTCCCTGCGCGAAGCCTGCTTCTCCCTCTGCCTGTGTCTCTGCCTCTCTGTGTGTGTGTGTGTCTCTCACAAATAAATAAATAAAATCTTTAAAAAATAAAAATAAATAAACCTTACCATTATCCAAACAAGGTAGCTATTGGTGTGATCTCCAATTCAGAGGAGGAAATGAAAGCTCAGAGCAACAGAGCCAGATTCAAATTCAAGTCTACATGGCCAAGACACGTGCTCTTAACCATAAAACCTGCCACCTGCAGTACCCACACGACACAAGTCAGAGGCGCAGCTCCAGCCTCACTACCCCACACACAGCCTAGGGGCACAGCCCACGTGTGGGAGAGACCTTGCTCTGCTTTAACTGCCTCCTCAGGAAAGCCAACTGCCCAGAATAGCCCTCAAGATTTGGGGTTCAAGCAAGAGGAAATGCCCATGATTAAAAGCCCAAAACTCTGGGTAGAGAGCAGACAGCAGTCGTCAGCTTCTCGCTGCCCACAGAGGCCAGGCTCATCACCACGCACGCAAGGTTATGTCCTTTCTGCTTTCCAGCCCGAGGCCAGCCGGGGGTGGGGGCAGGGGGTGGCCAAGGTGCAGCCCGCAACAGAACCTGCCGCAGACAGCAGAACTTTCCATCCTATACTGTGATCCAGCCACTCCCTCCGGAGCAGGCTGTAAGGAGGCCACTCAGAGATACATATCTCTGTACACAACGTGTGCACCCACCCCCCGCAGCCCGGTTCAGGGGCCTCGGGGGAGGACCAAATCCTCTGCTCTGCCCACAACCAGCACACCGGATGGCCTTCACCGTGTGGCCACTCTCTTGTTCAACCACTGTTTTCCAAACACCATCTCTGAACCCATGGCCTGCCCACGTGGAGCCCACGGTCTGGCAGGAACCAAATGGACCCAAGAAGAACCGCTGACACACAGAATCCATGATGGGACATGCAAGCAAGTGGACTTGGCGTGAAGTCCATCCATTTCTGGATGACATGAAGTGGGAGTCACTGGGAAGGCCCAAGTGAGCAATAGCAGCGTGAGGGCCTGCCTGCCAACAGAAACAACAAAAATAAAGGGCTGGCCCAGGAGAGAACAGCAAGAATGCTGGCAGCACAGGCAGGACAACCACATGACGGGAGGCTCGGTGAAGGGGCAGCGAGGCCGGCACCATGTGGCTATGGGAGAGACAGCATCCTTTGCGCTCTGGAGATCATCTGCAGCCACGGCCCTGGATGCTCAGGCTGCCCATGCTACATGGAAGAAGCAAAGAGAGAAGCTGCCATACAGTGAATGTGCATCCAGGACCCAGATTCCTGGAGCTGGGATCACCCTACTCTGCTCAAGAGGAAGGTGTCCACAGGGCGTCACCAAGAGCCATCAGAGGAAAGAAAGAGAAAGCAGATCCCCCTAGAGGAGGCAGGCAGAGGTTGACATGGTCTGGATCCTGTCCTAGGAGCCCTGCGACTGTGAGGACCAGAGAGGACTCCTATCAGGGGATTCAGGGGCAGGAGACAAGTCAAATGAGGTGCCCAAATAAGCCGGGACTGCACGTAGTGAGACGGGGACATACCCAGACAAGGATAGAGAATGGGCTTCTGGAGAAAGGGGAATATCCACACAGGAAACAGGGATCTGAGAAATAAGGCACAGGCAGGCCCCAGGGGGGCTGAGAGGAAAAATCGGGACAAGTTTGGGTCCAAATACCCCAATAGGCAGGGGCCGGTGGGTCATGAGAGAAAACTGGAGGGTAGCGAGCAGATGGCCCTGGAGCTGTAGTTCTTAGCCAGGCCTGGCTATGCCTGCATCTCAAAGTATTATCAAAGTTGGAAAAATTAAATGTTATTTCATGCAATAAATAGCACATTGTATTATTAAGTCCAGATGGTTAGCACCTTACGTGCACAAAGTTATCACCTTGTCTACCCAAAGAAAATGAGCTTGCTTCCTCCGCTCGCCCTTGTCCCACGGCCGCTGGCCCTCTCCTCAGGCCAGAGCCTCACGCCCCGTGAAACGCAGTCAGCGGACAAGAGGTGCTGGGCGGCGGGGAGCGGCCGGGGGAGGATGCGGGGGGACGACCGACAGGACCCACACCGCGGGCAGTGGGCAGACCGCGCCCCTCCAGACGGACGGGTAACAGGAGCCTCTGGGCATCCCGAGGGCACGGGAGAGAGAGCCGGACTCCCAGAAGGGCCCGAGGACCCTGGAAGGAGCCGCCGCCCTGCGCTCACACCGAGCACGAGCACGTTTCTGAAGGCCCCAGGGCGCCTCCGCTTGCTCACACCTTGCTAGGTGGCCACACAGACCGGTTTCAGGATCAGGACGCTCCCGCTTACACTCACATTTCTGCCAAAGAATGCTAGGGAGGGGCAGCAGCCCCCGGGCCCAGGCGGTCCCCTCTGAATTCTGGGGTCATAAGCAGACCTGGGTTGTTGGGGGGGGGGGGTTCTATACATTTGTTTGTTGTTTTTATTTTCTAAAATCTCGACAGCAAGCTGAGTGCGTCCGTTCTGGATTAGGAGGAACAGGGAACGCTGACACCCACTCGGGGGGCGCACAGGTGCGAGCAGGGGCAGGCAAGACCCAGGAGGACCCGCGCCCTGGGGGACTAGGGACCCCCGGGATGGAGACCTGTCTGCCAGGAGTGGCCGCTGACACAGGGTGCCCACTCCGTCCCGCCTCAGGAGGAAGGAGATCGCAGAGGCGGTGAGGGTGGGAGGGTGATGGCGTCGCAGAGAAACGCCTCGTGGTCTCCCTCCTCAGAAACCAGGGTCAGCTTCCCTCCCCCAGCACATGGCAGATCTGATGACCCCCAACAATTCTAGCATTAAAAATGCAGGAGAGAAAAAAAATAAAATAAAATAATGCAGGAGAGAAAATGTGTTTAAAGAGAACACCTTCTTGGATAATGAGGAGGTGAGAAGAGAGAGAGAACCCACGAGGAGCAGGGCCGCGAGGCCACCAGCTTCCCCAGAGCAGGCATCTCTCCGGCCCAACTCCAGCTTTCTTTTTTTATTTATTTTATTTTATATTTTATTTTATTTATGATTAGTCACAGATAGTATGAGAGATGAGAGAGAGAGAGAGAGAGAGGCAGAGACACAGGCAGAGGGAAAAGCAGGATTCCATGCACCGGGAGCCTGATGTGAGATTCGATCCCGGGTCTCCAGGATCGCACCCTGGGCCAAAGGCAGGCGCCAAACCGCTGCACCACCCAGGGATCCCCAACTCCAGCTTTCCTTCCACAGCCTGGTGGGCACCGACTCCAGCGGGGAGCCTGACGGGAGCCCACCTCCCACAGGGGCTGGGGCTTCAGAGGGCTACATCCTGGGCCAAGGGTGACCTAGAGGTCTACTGGCTGGTCTCTGCCCCAGCCCCAGGGAGCTGGGAGGAAAACTGCCTTAGCACAGGGGGGCTGGGGGGACCCTGAGAGCTGGTAATCACATCCACAAACCACACTCAAACCACCCATGTGACTCAAAAATCGTAAGGCTTGGGTGCCTGGGCAGCTCAGTTGGTTAAGCATCCAACTCTGGATTTCTGCTCAGGTCGTGATCTCAG